TAAAAGTAGCTCCGCCCACTCTCTGAAGATTTCCACTGTGGTTTCTTAAGACTCGCCCCTCCGCTGAACAAGAAAATGTGTGTGCTAAGAGCGGTCCGGTCAGCGCTTGCTGTCAGCCCCCGAGAACCCGCCATAACTGGGGTGCTGTCCACGGCTCTGCTCTGCATGGACCGCAGCCCCTCCGTAATAACTGGGGTGCAGTCACTCTTTAAACTTGGAACAGAAAAAGCATGTCTATTCCATTTTATCAAACGGTGGCATCAGGGTTCCTGAATTGAGCAGGGCTGGATGCAGAATAATTTACATCAGTGTGAGGATTTCTGCTGGGGATTAGCGAGGATTTGTTCTTCGGGCTTATTTAGGTGCTAACCTCGGATGACTATATTTAGGAGGGCTCAGCTGCAGTGATGCACAGCCTGGTCTTTAATAACGGCCGCGAGTTTAATGTCAGCCTCCCTCTGTGGAATGGCTCCTCAGTGGATGTTTTCTCACAAGCCTGCGTGCTCTGCTTTGTTAATGGTTTGTAAATTGTCGGTGTCTACTCTCTTCTTTATATGTAGTTTTTATTCATTTCAGAGAGGAAGGAAGAGGGAGAGAGATAGAAACATCAATGATGGGAGAGAATCATTGATTGTCTGCCTCCTGCACACTCCCCACTGGGGATCGAGCCTGCAACCTGGGCATGTGCCCTTGACCGGAATCGAACCGGGGACCCTGTATTCCGCAGGTCGATGCTCTATCCACTGAGCCAAACCAGCTAGGGCTAGGTGTCTGCTCTTATGATCACTTCAAGAAGTAGATAGCGATGTTCCATCAGAGAGAGACAAGTGCCACAGGGTCTCACTCACAGGTGGAATCGAATGAACAAAATAAACTGATGATCAGAATAGATCCAGAGACACAGAACCAAGGAACAGATGCGGAACCTCACAGGGAAGGTGGGGGTGGGTGGGAAGTGATCAACTAAAGAACTTGTAAGCATAGATGCATGGCCCATGGACACTGACAGTAGGGGGTGAGGGCCGGGGATGGGGGGCAGGGGCAGGCTAGAAGGGGTCAATGGGGGAAAGGGGACCTATGTAATACTTTCAACAATAAAGATTAAAAAATAATTTAAAAAATAGATGGCTGTGCTATTGCTTCCATGACAGCCCTGGAAGGAATATTAATTATGAGCCCAGGGAGGGGCTGCGGTCCATGCAGAGGGTGGACAGCGCCCTGGTTGTGGCGGGTGCTGGGTGCTGTGGGGGGAGGGGTGACAGCAGCGCTGACCTGGCCGCTCCCACACACACACTTGCTTTCCCCGCAGAGGGGCGATTCTTCAGAAGCCACGGAGGAAGGCTTCGCAGTGGGTAGAGCTCTTTTCCGGGGTGGACATAAGACCCTGAAATGGATTTTCCTTAGTTTATTCACTTTTTAAACACGTTTTTGGAGATGGGTTTGCTCTTTCTGGGGAGCGTTTGGAAAACGAGCACACGAATAAATGTCAGGAGTTGCATGTCTGGCTCCCTTGTCCCGGGGGCCTGGCAGCACTGCGTCTGCTTCGGTGACTGAGGGTCCCAGGAGAACGAACCCTGGAAGCCGCTGGGTCCGGATCTGGTGGTTCCTCGGATGAGTCCGACCAAAGTCCACCGGAACCTTCTGGAAAGGACTCACCATCTCGGTGCCACTAGGGACACTTGTGGTCGTGGGAGGAGGTCACAAGATGAACGTCGGCAGGAGTTTAGGAGAAGGTGACCCCAGCCCTCAGGGCGGCTTGGAGGGGTCAGGACTTCAGAGGGTTCAAGACGTGGCGGAAGCGGCAGGAGGACCAGGATGAGAAGTGGGGCCAGAAGGACGGACCGCACGGCTGCATCTCCCGGCAGCATCTCCCGGTAGCATCTCCCGGTAGCTCTGCCAGCAAACGGGCATGCGGCCCGCCGGGCGCGAGTCTGACCTGCTTGCGAGGAGCTGTTCCCCAGGGTCGGGCAGAGAACGCGGGTTCTCGAGGTGACTTTTCCCCCGGGGAGATGCCGTGAGGACAGCTGGAAGGACAGCGGGGACTGAAACCATCACGCACGGCCAGGCCATGGAGCAGCGGCAGGTCGGAGATTCGGACTCCGCTTTTGGAAGAAGTGCTGCTGCGGGTGCTGTCCGACCGCATCGCGTGCTGCAGAGAGGAGCCCATGGACGCGGCCGACGCCACTGCTGTCATATTTTAAGAAATTGCTGCCGCCACCCCAGCCTGCAGCCACCCACAGTGAGCAGGACCCTCGCCAGCAGAGATGAGGGCTGCAGGCTCCCACGGTGGTTAGCATGTTTGAGCAGTAAAGCGCGTTTTATTTTTTAAATATATTTTATTGATTTTTTACAGAGCAGAAGGAGAGGGATAGAGAGTTAGAAACATTGATGAGAGAGAAACATCGATCAGCTGCCTCCTGCACACCTCCTACTGGGGATGTGCCCGCAACCCAGGTACATGCCCTTGGCCGGAATCGAACCTGGGACCCTTCAGTCCACAGGCCGACGCTCTATCCACTGAGCCAAACCGGTCAGGGCAGCAGAGCGCTTTTTAAATGAAGGTGTGCGCACGATCTTTTAGACGTGATGCTGTTGCACACTTAAGAGCCTACAGGGCAGTGCGAACGTGACTTGTATGTGCACCCCAAAACAAAGACGTTCACAGCGCTGCGTGCGGGGAGGCGCGCTCCACTGTGGTCTGGCCCCGACCCTGCACTGTCCCCGAGGCCTGCCTGCTCGGCCGCGCACGGTCACGATGATGCTTCGGTCCGTGACGTCCCACTTGTACCACAGTGGTCCCGTAAGACTCGAATGGAGCTGAACAGCTGCTGTTGCCTAGCGACGTAGCCATGGTAACATTGCAACACAACACACTGCATGTCTGTGGTGATGCTGGTGTCAACACTTACTGCCCTGCCGGGCGCGTGAAAGTAGATCACATACAATTATGTGCATGCAGTACGTCACCTTGATAATGTTTTGGCTTAGGTACTTACTATACTATGCTTTTTATTGTTATTTTAGAGTGTACTCTTTCTGCTTACTAAAAAAATTGCCGTAGTCCGCCTGGCGTGGCTCAGTGGTTGAGTGTTGGCCTATGAACCAGCAGGTCCCAGGTTCGATTCTTGGTCAGGATGAAAGTAGATCACATACAATTATGTGCATGCAGTATGTCACCTTGATAATGAACATAAGTGACTGTTTTGGTTTAGGTACTTACTATACTATGCTTTTTATTGTTATTTTAGAGTGTACTCTTTCTGCTTACTAAAAAAATTGCCGTAGTCCGCCTGGCGTGGCTCAGTGGTTGAGTGTTGGCCTATGAACCAGCAGGTCCCAGGTTCGATTCTTGGTCAGGGCACCCGCCTGGAATGTGGGCTCGATCCCCAGTCGGGGCCAGTCTATGGTTCTCTCTCATCATTGATGTTTCTCTCTCTCTCCCCTCCCTTCCTCTCTGAAATCAATAAAAAAATGGAAAGAAATTGCTGTAAACCAGCAGCCGTGCTACCGCAGCGGCAGCCTCGTGCATCTCGTGTTGACTGCATCTGTTGAGCTTGATTTCCTCTCCGGTGTTTTATACATTTAGTGCAGCCTGAGGGTACACTGTCGTCAAGTCCACCGCCGTGTCCAGTCATTCCTGGGCCTTCACCTGCCCCCACCACTCACTCCCTGACTCACGGAGCGTCGTCCAGTCCTGCGGGCTGCCTTCAGGGTGAGCCCCGTCCAGGTGCACCACCTGTCCCTTTATGAAGCTGTGTGCGGGGCTCTTCTCTGTTCGGATGTGTGTAGACACACAGATACCCGTGTCACAGTTGCCCACCGCGCTCAGCACATCACAGGCTGAACAGGTCTGCATAGGCGGTAGCATCCAGGTGCGTGTACATGCCTCTGTGCTGTTAGCCAGCGACGACATCGGACATGGCTGACGGTGCGTGTCAGGTGTATTTTTTAAAAATATTTTTTCATTTATTTCAGAGAGAGGAAGGGAGAGGGAGAGAGAGAGAAACATCAATGATGAGAGAGAATCATGGATCGGCTGCCTCCTCCTGCACGCCCCACACTGGGGATCGAGCCCACAACCCAGGCATGTGCCCTGACCTGGAATTGAACCCTGACCTCCTGGTTCATAGGTGGCCGCTCAACCACTGAGCCACGCCAGCCGGGCTGTCCTGTATTATTTCGAAGGCGCTATTGTATCCACCAGGGGTCAGTGGACAGATCGTGGCGGTAGGAGGTTGTGAATTAAAACAGAGACGGCACGAGGGGCATGAGTTTAGAAAACTCCCGTTCGGAGAGGTCGGAGCGGTCCTGCTCAGTGTCCTCATGCGAAGGGGGTGCGCCTGGCTGCTGTCCCTGTGAGAGCCCCCCACCAGCTGGCTTCCCACCGGCTCTGCCCGCCCCTCCGGAGTGCCAGGTGTCTGACTTCTTTGGGAAACACAGGGGGCTCCTGTGGTCTTTTCTGCCCTCCCCCCCTTTCTCACCCTGGAAATGGGGGAGGGGGCAGTGAATCCTGACTGAGAGTCCATCCGGCACGGGGCTGCATGGGGGACCTGTGATTTAGATGCGGCTTTTGGAATATTCCGGAATATAAAGATCTAGGACGGTGAAAACTATGGGCAGTGTCTTTCAAAAATGGAAATGGGGGGAGGGGTGGGAATCTTTGGAATGTTTGCTTCTAGCGTTCTTTACATATCTGAGTACCACGTGCGTTTGACATGGACTGTCTTTGCCTTTTCATAAATGGGTTACCAGTGCGTTTAGAGAGATGACAGGCTAGAAAAATCCTCGGGAAATATTTGTTTTCCTACGTTTCTTTTCTCTTTTAAGAAACTTAAAGCAAAGGTCCGGGTGGGGCGTCTCCCCGTCACTCTCTCTCCCAGGGCCCCGCTCCCCGCCTGCGGCCCCGCCCTCTCTCCCGCCCTCTCTCCCGCCTGTGTCCTCTGTGCTGTCTCCCCACCGGGCAGCCGCCCCCAGTGACCGCGTTTCTCTTCTCTTTGCAGTGCACGGAGGCCAAAAAGCACTGCTGGTATTTCGAAGGACTCTACCCGACATATTACATGTGAGTACCTGCCCGCCCCGCTGATTCTGTGGAATTACGGTTCTTTCACGGGACTGGTTATGGGTCGGGAAAGCCCTGTTGGGAGGCCCTCACCGGCTCACCCGCCTCTGCTCACTGGTGCGCAGCGACCCCCCGCCCGGGTCACCACCCGCTTGGGCCAGTCGCGTGGAGGACGGCGCTGTGGTGCCTCCCACACAATTGGTCAACAGGGGCAAGATGTGTGGGCAAGGCCAGCGTGACGCTGGCTTATATGGCTTCTAGGCCGAGGGTGTGAGGACACGGGGAGTGGGATTTTGAACTTGAGCGGGAAAAACAGCCCCCTCGGCTGCTGTGACCGTGTGTGTGTGTGTGTGTGTGTGTGTGTGTCTGTCTGTCTCTTCCTGTGCCCCGCACCTGCCAGCCTCCCTCTAGGAAGGCACCGCTGTGTTCCCTGTTTGCATGCGTTTTTCATTCCTGCTGTGTTAGTCACTGGCTGTTCTTGCACCACCTGCCTAGGTGGCCAGGTTAACTATCGAGGTTACCAATTATTGTTATCACTAGAGGCCTGGTGCATGAACTTCGTGCACTCAGGGCGGTGGGGCTCTCTCAGTCCCGCCTGCGCCCTCTCACAGTCCAGGAGCCCTCGGGGGTGTCCGCTCCCTATGGGGAGCAGGCCTAAGCCGGCAGTCAGACCTTCTTCGCGTTGTCTCAGAGGCGGGAGAGGCTCGCCAGTTGTGAGCCCGGCTGTGGCTGAGCGGCGCTCCCCCTGTGGGAGCACACTGACCCCCAGGGGGCAGCTTCTGCATTGAGTGTCTACCCCCTTGGGGTCAGTGCGTGTCATAGCGAACAGTTGTTCCATTGTTAGGTCTATTTGCATATTAGCCTTTTATTATATAGGATGATTTATTGTAAATGTATTTATTGATTTTAGAGAGAGAGGAAGGGAGAGGGGGAAAGAGAGAGAAACATCAATTGGCTGCCTCCCGTATGCATCCTGACCAGGAGTTGAGCCCACAACCCGGGCATGTGCCCTGACCAGGAATTGAACCCGTGACCTCCTGGCGGGGCTCAGTGATTACTTTTGATTGTGTTTTGATGTCCCATAGTTTTGCAGGAATGCCTCAAACCAGTCCCCCGACCCCCCAAGACTTATTTTTAGTATCGAGTTTTGCAAAACATGAGATTTTTCGTAATGCATCTAATGTTACAGCAGAAATGCCGTATATTGTGTCTAGGAAATGCCGTATATTTCCTAGGTGTCTAGGAAAAGGAGGCAGGAAATATATAACAGCGGCCAGAAGGGTGATTGCTTCCCTGGCCAGTACGTACATCTTTCTTGCCGGTCGTCCCCGGGGTTTCTGCTCCTGAGGAGGCAGTGTGGGCGGGGAAGGCTGCTGGCCGCTCGAGGAAGCGCGGGAGAGGGGCCGCTTCCCGCGTGGTTTTGTGTTGAGACACCTGACACGCAGGAGCCCTGACGCCCCACGAGAAAGAGTCTGTTCCCAGCACCTGAGTCTTTAACAATCATTGTAACAGGAATGCAGGCGGTAGATGCTCCTGTTACAGACTTACTGTCTGCATAGTAATGCAAGTCGGCGTTATCTATAATAATAAAAGCATAATATGCTAATTAGACCGGACGACCTTCCGGACGAAGCTGGGGCTGCAAGGGAAGCCTGGGTCCTGGGTGCCAGAGGGAAGCCGGTGCCGGCAGCCAGGGGAAGGAAGGCCTACTCTGGCACGAATTTCGTGCATCAGGCCTCTAGTTAGAAAAGAAAATCTCTGCCCCTAACGAGACTTCGCATTAACGTAAAAGAAGTTTTGACCTTAAAGTTTAAACAAAAAGTCATTTTTCACTGATAAAATAATTGAAACATGACTGACTCTGCAAGTCCTTCGTAATTTTTATTATTTTTATTTTTTATTTTTTCCGTCACCATTTATCCCCTCTATGCCCTCTACCCTCTCCGCCCTCCCCCTCCCCACCAGTCTTTTTACAAATGCTTCGGAAGTCATCAGAGGGGAGTTTTTGCCCGGGCCCCCTTTCTCCTGCCCTCTCTTCTCCGTCCCTCTCAAACAGGTCACACGAGGAATGCAAACTCAAGAATTCCAGGTGCGAGGTATACTTCTGCCTCAGAGAAACCACTACCTCCTCTGTGTAGTGAAAACAAAGTAAAAAATTGAATAGAACCAGACTTTTCTCAAAAAATAAATGCAAGCTGAGAAAAACAAATACAGACTAGGGTGTAAATAAGAGTATTTTTGGAAAACAGGTATTTCCTCTCTTTCTACTAGAAATAGCAGAACGCCCCCTAATACTTGCTTTTCTTTCCCGATTGCCTGGTTAACTAGCATGCGTCCCGGCAGGGCGATCGGGGAACATTGCTAGGCAGAGGCGCTGACGGGATTTCCTCCTCAGATTTGGCTAATTCTGTGGCCGAGAAAACAATGTTTGGTCTCTAATTAGTCAGGAAACAGCGCCGATCTCGTTTCGAGGCGTCAGCCAGTATGACCCAGCGAACCTCTGGGAGGGCGCCTTCCAACAGAGGTCTCCCCGGACCTGGAGGTGCTCCGTGACCTGGAGCCCTTTGGCTGTTCTCTCCTGGAAGGATGAGAGGTGGTGAGCCCACACCCGCCACGAAGGATGCGGGTTTTCCTCTGAGGCTGGTCACGGGACCTCACAGTGAGCGCAGCGTCCCTCATCAAAGTGGCTCCCGCCCCTCTGCCCTCCGCTGTGTCTTTGCTGCCACCTGACATACGTGGCCCCGATGTGGCCGGTGTCTCTAGGGACGGCGGTGTAGGGTGTCCTTGGTCTTCCTTCTCCTTGAGTTCTCACCGGACTTTGACAGCCCGTTTCCTAGAGACGTTCTCCCCCCACCGCTGTGTTATCTGGGCCCTGCAGCCGGCAGCGGGGATGGGCAGGAAGGGCAGCGCTGGGCTGTCAGCGAGGCTGGCAGGCGGGCTCCGGGCCAGGGGCCGGCGGGAACCAGCGAGTGCTGGCAGGAAGCCTGGCTACTGGGAAAAGTGGAACCTTGAGAACTGAGGCAGCAGCGGGAAGACTGGGGTCCGGTCGCAGAGCCGCCCGGTGGAGGGAAAGGGGCTGGGCGGCCGGGGAGCACACGCGTTAGTTCTTCTGGGAACAGTGGCCTTTCCTGGTTGGCTCTGCTTCCTGGACTCCGCTCGGGGCAGGCGTGGCCACCCTTGTCTTGTGACACGGCCTTTCTCATGTTTCGTAGATTAGCCAGGGCGCATCCCCAGGCTCCCAGAGGCTGCAGGGGGGCCGTTCCTATTTCATTGTTGATTTGTTCCTGATTTCCTGGCTCAGGATGTAGGTGAACGTCTTTGCTATGGACAGAGAAGACGGAGGCGAGCCGTTCTTGTCACTCAGACCTGCTGGTCTGGGCTCTGTCACCCCTCTCTCTCCCCCTAGTGAGGGGAAGGGGCCTGGAAAGTTAAAAATGTCGTCACTGTTATTAGAGCTCTGAAAAGCCATTGCCACCATCAACATCGAGGGCTTCTTCCCCACGTGGGGACGGGGGGGAGGAGGCAGCAGGAGGAGGAGCTGGTGCTGGGCACGCAGACTCGTGAGTCCGATTGTGGGGCAGGGACCCCAGGCCGTCTCCGAAGGCCAAGGAGGAGAAAGACCCTGATGGGGGGCCGGTGCGACCTCACAGCCCGGCTCCCATCCGGCATCACCAGGGCCCACCCAGTTCCCACATCTCCCTCAGACCAAGACAGAGAGTGTGTCCCCGATTTCCCAGACGGGCCCCCCCACGGAGTCAGGGGGAGTCTATATATATAAAAGACTAATATGCAAAGTGTCCCGAGACAGAGAGTGTGTCCCTGATTTCCCAGACGGGCCCCCCACGGAGTCGGGGGGAGTCTATATACATAAAAGGCTAATATGCAAAGTGTCCCCTCGGGAGTTCGAGTGGGAGAACGGGAATTCCATCGCTTGCTATGACGTACACTGGCCACCAGGGGGCGGCGTGGAATATGGTGGGCGACCAACAGCAGCAGTGGGGTGCTGAGGGAGCAAGGGAAGGAGGAGGCGGGAGGTGGGGAGACGGGGAGACGGGGAACCTGATAGGCCCTGGTCACCGGTCAGGCCTAGGGACCCTACCCATGCACGCATTTCGTGCACCGGGCCCCTAGTTAGTTATAACAAAGACTGACTATGATCACAGCTGACATGTCCCCTCCCTGGACAGGGAGCTGGTGGAGGGCTGGAGCCGGTGACTTCCACATCTCCGGTGACCTGGAAGGCGCTCCTACACACGCAGGACCCAGGGAAGGGCGGGGAGGAACCGGGGACTGGCAGCCTGCCCTGGTGCTGGGGAGTGTTTGGGGGGCTGGCAGTCAGACCTTCTCCAGTCCTGCTCTGCCGCTGTGTGATCTTGGGCAGACCTCCTGCCCTCTCTGGGCCCCAGTCGCCTGTGCCGGATTATCTCCAAGGTCCGATCCTGCTTCTAGGACACCCTCGGGCGGCTGCACGGGATAATTTAGACCCAGGGGTCCTCAAACTACGGCCCGCGGGCCACATGCAAATACAAATATTGTATTTGTTCCCGTTTTGTTTTTTTACTTCAAAATAAGATATGTGCAGTGTGCATAGGAATTTGTTCATAGTTTTTTTTCAAACTATAGTCCGGCCCTCCAACGGTCTGAGGGACAGTGAACTGGCCCCCTGTTTAAAAAGTTTGAGGACCCTGATTTAGAGTGTAGAGAACAGAAGACGAGCGGCCCAGCTGATGAGGTGTTGTGGCAGCGACAAGCGTACAGATGTAAGAGGGATCGGAGCTCCCACCTGCCTGCCAAGTGCAAGCAGCCGCTCAAGTTTCCCTTCGAAGGGGGGTCGTCTTTCTCCCGCGGGCCTCGGGCTCGGGGTGACACACTGGGGAAGGGCGTGCGTCGCAGCCCCAGCGCGTGGGCCCAGGAGCCGTGAGCGCGCAGTTCCAGCTGCTGAGGTCCTACGGCAGCCGTGCCGGTGCTGGTGCGGGCGGGAGCTTCCCACAGTCAGTCACGGGGCATTGTCTGACGTGGAGACTTTCTTCATGCGATGCTGCTACGTGAGTCAGAGAAGGCCGGTGACTCAGAGGAGCCAGCTTCCTGCTCTTCAGGAATAGGAATGACAGGAATTCGGCCCAGTCCACGGGGGTGGGGAGAAGCGGGTTGGGCTCCTCAGCTGGCCTCCAGGGATTTGTGAGTGAGAATAGGCCCGTGGCGTCTAGTGGTCCTTGTCACCTGCATTTTACTGAGAAAACCTTAGGGCCAGCGGAGGTGTCAACCCTTCCCCAGGCTCCTGCGTGACTGGGTACCTCTCAGGGGCGGTGGATGCAGCAGGGTGCAGGGTGCTGGGTGCTGGGTGCTGGGTGCTGGGTGTCCTGTGTACACACTTGTAGTTTTGGGTTCGGATCTCAGTGCCGCTGAAGGAGAGAAGGGGGGTGCTCTGAAGTCAGCGGCGCGGAGACGAGGCAGCCCACGCCCCTTGCCCTGCTGCGGAGACGGGGCAGGAGACAGGAGACAGGTGCAGGGAAGGCGTCCACTCGAGTGCGAAGGAGATGAGGCCACTCCTCCCGCTGCTGCTCTGCCTGTGGCCTTGACCAGGTCATTCCAGACCCTGTCCTCAGCCTCAGCCTGGCTGGCTGTGTCTGGCGCGTCCTCGCTGTGAATAATGGATGGCGTGAGGGGAAGTGCTGTTCGCAGGTGTCTGAGCCGGAGGCAGAAGCAGCTCCATAGAGCCAGTGCCTGGCCGGCTGCCGACCTGCCTGCTGGCGCTGGAGAGCCAGACCAGGTCCGGAGGCGCTGGTGTGCCCACCTCCTGGCTCCTGGCAGACCTGGGCCTGATGGGCCCCTCTGTGCGGGGTGAGGTCAGCTCTCCTTCTTGGGGTGTGCGGGGTGGAAAGGGTGGGGGTCGGGCGGGGCACAAATAGTGAAGGAGGCAGTGATGACCCCTCGGGGCCTGAGGGGGCCCCGTCCCTGGCGAGGGCCTTTCTCGGCTCCTCTTCTGGGGGAGGAACAGCCCCTGAGTGTCCACAGGAGCCTGAAGCCTCAGGTGTGGGGTGCGGGAGGGGTGGCGAGGGCAGGGACAGTGCCTGTGGGCACTTCTGTAAGGACAACGGCACCGTGACCGCGTCCTGTCTTCGCGCCCATTTTGCTCAGGAAACTGCGGCTCCCAGAGGCCCCACCGTTAGTGGCAAGACCAGGACAAGCCCCCCAGCCGGTCTGGCCCTGCAGGCTCTGTCTTTAACCCCCCTGCCCTGCGAGGGCTGCCATCCCGTCTTTGGAACCGTCGGGGGTCGGGCTGAGCGGGACCCACAGCACATCAGTGCCGGCCTGTGGCAGAGCCAGCGGTCACACCCTCCTTGGCCGTGGCGCTTCCCCGGAGGAGCCGTCGTGATTGGGCGCACGGGGCCTGCGGGACATGGTGCCGTGAATTACATTGACCGTGCCCGTCTTGCACCTTCCATTTGGGCCACGAGACGGACGTGGTCAGTGTGGCCGTTTCGTGGCCTGCAGCGGGGGCTGTCCGTCCTCTGCCCTGAGCTCTGCCCGGGTCTCTGAGGGTCCTCCCTTCCCGGGACCGGCCCTGACCCTGTGCCCCTCCCGCAGATGCCGCCCCTACGAGGACTGCTGCGGGTCCCGGTGCTGCGTGCGGGCGCTCTCCATCCAGCGGCTGTGGTACTTCTGGTAGGTCACACCCCGCCTGCCCATGGCTTCTCCCCCTGCCCCGGGCCCTGGGGCGCCACCTTCCCGTCGCCTTCCTGGTCACTGTCTCGGGGGCTGCCTCGTCAGCCGGCAGGTGTGTCCGCCTGGCCTCGCAGTAGCATTTCTGCTCCCCGAGTTGCCGGAAGCCCCTCCCGGTTCCCAGGCGGCGGCCGGGGGAGAAGGCTGATTCCTGCGGACAGGGGCTGGGCAGCACCTCATCCTCCAGCAGCTCCTGGCCAGTGTCCGAAACAACACTGAGGTCAACTGTCTTTTTATTGTTAAAGATTTTTAAATTGATATTTTAGAGAGAGAGGGAGCGAGAGAGAAACACTGATGTGAGAGAGAGACATCCATCAGCTGCCTCCTGCACACCCCCTCCCGGGGATGTGCCCTGACTGGGAATCGAACAGGCGGCTTTTCTGTGCAGGGGACAAGGCCCCACCAGCCCAGCCACACGGGCCAGGGCTCAGCCTCCTAAAGATCAGAGAGTCTGCAAATCTCACGATAAAATTCCTGCTGCCTCGCCGTCTCCCTTCACATAGTGTGGGCTGCCTCCCGACTCAGGACAGACGCTGGGCCCTGCCCATGCCCAGCTCTCCGAGGAGGAGGCCCCCCGCCAGCGGCCAGGCCTGCAGGGCAGTGTCTGCACAGACCCTCACGGGGGAGCCGAGACCAGGGCTCCGGCAGCGCGGCCTCTGACCCGCAGAGTGGGGGCCTGGGCCGCCCTGGCCCTCACCTGGGCGCTGTGACCCCCAGGTTCCTCCTCATGATGGGCGTCCTCTTCTGCTGCGGAGCCGGCTTCTTCATCCGGAGGCGCATGTACCCGCCGCCGCTGATCGAGGAGCCCGCCTTCAACGTGTCCTACTCCAGGCAGCCCCCGAACCCGGCGCCAGGTCAGCCACCCCTCCGTCCGCGCCCCTCCCGCCGTCCAGGCGTCTTCCTAAACATTCCGCGTTCCGTTTGCTGCCGGGACCCGGCCCCACTTCACCATCCTAGTCCTCCCAGCCCCCTTTGCATTCTCCTCATCCTTGAATACCCGGTTCTCTTCCTGTCGCCAAAGTCAGGCGTCCCCACCTCCCGCTCCTCGGCCTTGTGTCCCTCCCTGTACACTGCGTGCGTGGCTGTAACCACCATGGACCATTCCCGGCCCCACCCTTCTCCTGTAGCCCCGCCCTCCTCCTGTAGCTCCGCCCTCCTGTAGCTCCGCCCTCCTCCTGTAGAACCTCCCTACACCTGTAGCCCCGCCCTCCTCCTGTAGAACTGCCCTCCTTCTGTAGAACCGCCCTTCTCCTGTAGCCCCGCCCTCCTCCTGTAGCCCCGCCCTCCTCCTGTAGAACTGCCCTTCTCCTGTAACCTTGCTCTTGCTCCCTGGGACCTCTATCAAGACCAGAGCCAGTCATTTCTATGTAGGCCTCTTCTCTGTCCCATGCATTCCACACTGAGTGTGCCCCCAGGTCCTCCCGAACACCTCTTCTTCTCGACTCCCCATTTCGTCTCTCCTCTTCGGAGGCTTCCATTGCCTATCCTGGACTATTACAATAGCCTCTTTTAAAATCTTAATCTTTAAGATATAAAGGGATTGGAGATAAATAAAGCATAACCTCTGCCTTTGGGAAACTCATGGAGGTGAAGGGCTTGTGGGCAGACACGGCCCAGGGCAGTGGGCGGCCGCACCAGGGAAGCAGGTGCCGCCTGTCAGATGTGCAGGAGAGAGAGGAGGCCCCGGCTGGCAGACTGCCCTCCTGCCAACTCCTGCAGATGCACTTTGGCCTCGTGTTTCTGTTCTCATCTCCCCGCAGCACTGGAGGGAGGTCCCAGGTCTGACGTGTGCAGGCGTGAGACCCCTCGCACACCCGGTGGGCATCTTGGCAGGAATCGGACCGCCATGCAGTTAAACTGTAGCACAGGGAGACCCTCCGCCATATGTACTGGGACGAAGGCTCTGAGGCTCCCAGTGTCTCCGGGGGTAAAGGAGGCCTCCCTCAAACAGACCTGCGTCCACTCAGAGTCAGCTGAGCCCAGTGCGCCCCAAGCTCCCGCTCCGAGTCTCGGTTCTCTGTGTGTATTCAGTGCTCTGTCCATGGTATCAGCATGGCCAGAGGAAGCAGATCTGAAACACACGCTCCAGAGCAGCAGCTCAGATCGAGCTGAGGGGGTCACCTTGGAGCAGAGCCGCTCCCACCAGCATCGGTGCCCAGGTGCCCAGCCGCCCGATGGCATCCCCCGAGGCGGCCTCCCTGTCTGAGCTGGGCTCACCTGTGCCAGGTGGTCCCCTCCCTGATCAAATGTTCCCCGGCCGGTGGGAATGGCGGCCGTACTTCTGACTTGAGTCTCAGCAGATGGTTCTCGAAGGGCCGTGGAGCTGCGGAGTGGGGGGATGGTGGGTCCTGTGCCAGGTCCCCTCCCTGATCAAATGTTCCCCGGCCGGTGGGAATGGCGGCCGTACTTCTGACTTGAGTCTCAGCAGATGGTTCTCCTCG